CCTTCTGTTCCTATCATAAGTGGCTAGGTAGCACAGGGGATAGGGCACTGGGCCTAGAGTCAGGAAGACCTGAATTCAAATCTAGCCTCTGACATTCCTAGCTGTGTGACCTTGGGAAAGTCATTTAGCCTCTTTTGCCTCAGTTTCCTTATCAGTAAAATGGGGATAATAATAATAGAACCTACCTCCCAGGGTTGTCATAAGGCTCAAATGAGATAATCATCGTAAAAAGTGTTTAGTGCACTGCCTGGTACACAGTAGTTGCTAAATAAATGCCTGTTTCCTTCCCCTTCCCTTAAATATGGTCTTCCCTGAAGTGTTGTCCTTGGCCCTCTTCCCTTCTCTCCCAGTGTGCTGCTCCTGAATAAAAACATTTAAAAATCAATTCCATGGCTTCAATGATTGCTTCTCTGTACTTTGACCATACTATTTCCCCCTAAAGAATCTCCTTCATTGAAATCCTATTTATCCTTTGAAACCTAGTTTCAATCTCCCTCCACTATTAAGGCTTCCCAACTCACTTCAACCTCCTTCTCTGCATTCCTAGGACATATGTTTCTGCTGTCTTGTTAAATCAGTTAGGATCATCTCATAGGACCATAGATTCAGGACTGGGAGGAGCTCAGAGGCCATGTAAACTCACTCCTTCACTTCATTGGTATAGCAACTGAGACTCAGAGGAAGAAGTCATATTGCTAACTAGCAGGAGAGTAGAATCCTCTCATCCTTCGAAATCAAATGTTCTTTCCACTTCATCATGTTTGAAGTAGCAAGGATTTTGTGCTGGAAGAGACGCTCAAAATAAACTAGTTCATTTTCTTCATTTTACAGATGAGTAAACTGAGGCTAAGGGAGGTTAAGCGACTAGCCCAGGGTCCCACAGCTGATAAGTGCCCGAGGCAGGGTTTCTTGCTGATTTAAAATCCAGTATTCTATACATGAATCCTCTCTTCATGAGCCCTGGCCACTCACGACATCCCAGGATTGTCCAAGTTTTCTTGGTAGGCACAGAACACTGGTGATTCACTTTGAGCTGGCAGGCCACTTCATCTCTCTTGGCCTCAGTTTACTCATCTATAAAATAACTATAATAAAAACTGTCCTGCGCATGTCATAGGCCTGGGGTCATGATCTACGGAGACAATATATGTGAAAGTACTTAGTGATTGTAAAATGTTATATGAATATAGCGTGTCATGTCTTGGAACTGTTTGATTATTCTTACGGGACATCTAAAAGTGAAAGAAGGGGAAGGGGAAGGAAAGAAACATTCATTAAGTGCCCATTATGTTCCAGGCACTATGTGCTTAACTCTACAATTATTATCTCATTTTATCCTCACAACAACCCTGGGAGGTAGGTGCTATTATGATCCTCATTTTACAATTCAGGAAACTGAGGTAGACAGAAGTTAAGTGACTTGCCCGAGATCAGACAGCTAGGAAGTGACTCAGGCCAGATTTGAAACTAAGGCCTTTCTGACTTCTGATGCAGCGCTCTATCCACCATACCACTGAGCTGCTCCCAAAGAAAGGACCCAGAAATCAGAGCCTACCTGACAAAGAACATTATATAACACAGATCCATGAAATACCAAAATACCAAAATCCTTTCAACCCATGCCTGCTGGAGCATAACAGCTATCCCCAGAGACGCTCTCTGAAGTCATTTCTCAAAATGTACCTGGGTACGTGTGGTATGGTACCATTATGAGTACTGGTAGAGTTTAACTGTGTATATGTGATTTTTTTGCAGATATGCAGCACATACTATGTGACAGGAGTCAAGAATTCTTGAGTTGGAATCTTGCCTCAGCTACTTGTTAGCTATGTTACCTGGGCAAGTCATTTCATCTGTCTCTGCCTCAGTTTCCCCATCTGTAAATTAGGTTGTCAAGAGGATCAAATGAGATTATGTGATATAATATATCATATGTTGCATATAATCTGTATTATATGTAATATAATATATGTAATATAATACATTATATATCATATATAAAGTACTTTGCAAAGTTTTAAGTGTTACATAAATATTAGCTATTATTATGACTGTTCAAAGCCTTTGCTTAATCCTCTGCCAATGCCTCAGTATGATAGGGAGGTTACTTTGGGCTCTTGAAGGCTATGAATCCCTTCTGGTAGGTCCTATCAAGCTAGAAAGGCTTCAAAGAAGAGCCCAGGGTCCAATTAGCATCTTTGTAGAGGGTACCATGTTAGCTGCTGGGCCTATAAAGACTAAAATGTAGCAATTTCCACCTTCATGCAATGTATGCTCCACTGGAAACTGACTCTATCTGTCCTCCCAGGATCCTCAGTTGAATTCCAAGAGGCACAGCAACAGAAAACCAGCCACAAGGTGATAGAATTTTTAGTCAGAGTGACTCCCCAAGACCATTTACTGAGGCATAGAGGGATTGCCATCTGCATTGGTAAAGAAAGTGCTGAAGTAGGGAGGGTCACAGGCTCTATATTAAGAGCTGGAAGGAACCTACGGCAGTATCTAGTCTAGAGATTCTTGGCAATTTTTGTGTCATGGACCTCTTTGATCTATTGACCCCTTCTCAGAATAATGGTCTTTAATACGTAGGATTACAAAGGAAACCAGTTAGATTGAAATAGTTATTAAATTGAAACCAAACAAAACAAACAAGTTCATGGACCCCAAGTTAAGAAACCCTGCTAGTCCAAACTTCTCATTCTACAGATGAGGAAATTGAGTCTGAGAGAACTAAAATATCTTGCCCAAGGTCATTCAGATAATAAGTGGCAGAGGTGAGATCTGGGTCCAGTGCTCTTTCTAAGAATAGGGAAAGCCCCATGCTAGATGCCGATGGGCAGGCAAAGATAAAGTTTTTTCACTGAGCTCAAACCTGACATTAGAACATTAAAAGTTAATTTGTTTTTTTTGTTCAGGGTTGGGGTGGGAAGGAAGGGGTCAGGCTGCTTTGATGAAGACATTAGATCTCTCTGGTCACAGACCTTTCATGCTGGTCCTTTAAGTCTTGGTGACTGTGGGTTTAACTCCCATCATGCTTCACATTACACTGTATAGTCTCCTTGGTGAATTATCTCTGATTCTTTTGGGTTTAAGTGTGTCTTGGTATAGAAAGTTGCCACCTGTTCTCTCCAAGCCCCGGGTGATCTCAGACTTATTGTTTTAGGGATTCTCTTTTCCTCTCCTACCCTCAGACCTCAGTTTCTCATCCTGCCAAGGACTGGTCACTTCACCATCCAGCCCTCCCCTTCCAACTCCTCAGGCTTGTTTCTTTAATAGATATCACTAGTGTGGGGGTGGCAAGGTCAGCTGGTGAGATCATCTATTGTAAACATTTTTTCTCAAATAACCTCCCACTTAATAATTATAGTAGCCTGTGTTTATATAGACGGCACATTAAGGTTTATAAAGAACTTCCTTAGCAACCACCTAGTGTTATTCCCATTTTACGGATGTAGAAATTGAAGCAAAAGTGGGTTATGTGGCCAATCCATCTATGTATCACAACTGGGATTGAAATCACTCTTGAAAGTTATTCTTTCCAACGTGCCACTTTGCTTCTGAGAATCATTCAACCTTGGTATTGAAGAGAAATTCAGAAATCATCAGCTGCAACCTCCCATTCAATGCAGGAATCCCCTTTAACTTGCCTTGGAACAGGGCTCATTTATGGCTTTTACTTGAATACTTCCAGGGAGAAAGAGGTGAGTCTTCCTGCGGCCCTTTCAAGCCAACAGCTCCAGCTCTATTGAGCAGGACAGACAGGGATGGGCAAGTTGCTACCACCAACAAAAACTTGTTTTGGTTTTTAAAAATAACTATCTGGTGTCATAAAGGTCCTCTCTTCCTTTACTTTCCTTCCCCATCTCCTCTCTATCCCATCCATAGCCTTTTCTTCCCTTCCCTTCATTGCCTTTCCCTTCTCTTCCTTCCGCACCAGAAGGCATCTCTTCTTCCCTTTCAGAGCATGTTCCAGGTAGCAGTGTGCTCTGAGCCTCTGGTACCTCACTTCCTCCTTTCTTTCTGGCTAGTGTCATAAAGATGTGGGCCCAGGTTTCTGAAAAAAATAAACCCTCCCTCTTCAGGCTACACCCCAGCCCATCCTGGAGAATGAGATCAGGACCCCACATTTCTCCTTCCTCTTACTCATGAAAAGGGACCTGAGTAAAAGTGGAGATCACTTTTGTGTCAAACTTAAGCATATAAGACAGGGAAGGCTGGGCCCCATCTCCCAGAAGGCTTCAATCAGAGGCCAGTTTTCTCCCAAGAACTAGAGGGGACCATAAGGTTCCAGCCAGAGAACCAGCCTGGGCTCTTACCACTCTCTCTCACAATTCTCTTTGAGATCCACTTCCCCATAGAGTCAGGAAGACCTGAGTTCAAATCTGGACTCAGATATTTACTATGTGTATGACTCCAGCAAGTCACTTAGCCTCTGCCTTGGTTTCTTCATAAGGGGATAATAATAGTACCAACTTCTGAGGGTTGTTGTGAGGGTCAGATGAGATAATCATTGTAAAGAGCTTAGCACAGTGTCCGGCAACATAGAAAGTGCTTTATAAATGTTGGCTATTATCTTGGCCCTTGGCTCCTTGGACATCAGCTGGGCAATGCTTTCCACAAGCCCTCATATCTCAAAGGCAGAAACCAAACTATCGTTGCCTCCTAACGAAATACTTGGCATCTGAACCAGACATACCAGGAGTGCCTTGGAAGAAATGACATCCTAAATCAAAGACATTGCAACACCTTTGTTGTAGGTGGAGTTATTTCTACCTATCTGACACACCATTCATTTGGGAACAGCAAGGTAGTGATTCTACTTCCCTCTGTCATCACCTTAGCTCTAAGGTTACTCCTGAATATAGTGCACAGGGGCGGCTCTGTCCATGACCAAAGCAGGGTCTTGATTTTTATGTCTTTCCCAGTTGACCCAAGATGCTTAGAAAAATTTCATTAGGGAAGCGGTAAAAAGATTTGAGGAATAAGAAACAACAGGAAACTAAGATGTTCCTATAGGCTTTATTATCACACATTCACAAAATCAAATTTAGTCAGCCAATACTGATTTAGGGCCTACTATGTGCAGGAACCTGTATCTGCAGACAAAAAAAAAAGAATATAGCTGAGTCCACAGAGAGATCTCCATAGAGAATGACTTCCACATGAGGACCAGGCAGTTACATGGATCAGAGAAGAGCACAGGTTTCTGCAGTTAACCTTCTGGGGGAAACTCTGAGATGCCCCAAGACATCTCCAAAGGAAGACGAAGAGAAGTAAGGGGAACCAGTAGGCAGGGGCATCCTCTTCTGCCATTCTCCTTGTAGGCTGGTCTTCACTTCTGCTGCTGGGGCTAATTCAGCAGCTTCCAGAGCAGCAGCCAGAGCCACCCCGGCCTACAGAGGTCTGGGATCTCTGGCTGCCGCTATCCCCACAGCAGCAGCAGCCTCGTCGTCTGCGGCGCCGGGAAGGTAGGCAGCAGCCTCCAAAGCATCCAGTAGAACTAGACCCACAGCATCCTGAGGATCCGCAACATCCTTCAGAGTTGGACCCACAGCATCCTCCTGAGCTGGACCCGCAGCATCCTCCTGAGCTGGACCCGCAGCATCCTCCTGAGCTGGACCCGCAGCAGCCACTAGATGAAGGAGCTGGAGTAGGGGCTGGCATAGGGGTCGAAGAAGAGCATTGGGGATAGCCTTTGACAGGAGCCTTGGAAGACATCTTTCTACCGTTTAGGTAAACCTGGAAGAAAGTACCATATGTAAAACACAAGTTACTTTTTTTCCCTTTCCAGACCAGGAACTCGGGCATTCTTGAGATATAGCACAATTAGCATGTTAGGCTCATTGTATGAAAAGAGTCTCCTGAGTAATCTTCCAGCAATATGCCCCTCTGGTTAGATCTCAGGACCATAAATTGAGAGCTGAAAGGGTATGTAGAGACACTATCTAGCCTAACTCACTTTGGAGGAAACTAAGCCCTCGGGAAGTGAAATGACTTGTCCACAGTCATATGGATGGTAAGTGACAGAGACAGGCTCTATTTCTAGAGAAGATATTTTCTACATGGAGTCAATAATTGGCCACTAACCCCAAAAGGTCTTGATGGGTGGTACAAAATGAAATATTGTGGATATTACTATATAAATATATACATATAAGGACAAACCTTTATAGGCAATATACAATTTAATATGTATATTACATTACAATCACATAACATATTGCATATGTACTATACATGCATATATATTTATGCATGTATTCTTATGACTAAAATAAAGAATGGAGTGTTTTAGACAAATGCTCCAAACCTGGGTTTCCTCTCTCCCATTCTTTCTTGCCTCATCTTCACATTTATCCCATATGACCCACAAGGAGTACAACAAGATGAGGCTATTCCCATTTCTGCCATAACTAGTCAGCAGAAATTGCTATTGGCCTTAAACAAGCCACACTATGTCTTTTGGTCTCAGTTTCATTATCTGTAAAATAAAGGAGCTGTCCTTGGTGATCTTTGAAGTCCCATGCAGTTCTAACATTCTAAAGCTCTTCATTCCTCTAAGTTACTTCCAGACATCTCCATCCTTACCCCCTTGCTCCTCTATCTTAGGCTCCCCATAGCCCTCTCCTTCCAGGGCCCTCTTTGAGACTCACCCCACACTGGTTCCAGGGGATGTTTCACCCAATTCTTCAACCAAGAGACGTCGTCACTTCTAGAGCAATGAACTGAGTAGCAACCAGGTGGAAGACTTTTTATACAGGTTCTAGACTGCCAGCTGGCTAGTGAAAACACAGGCTCCTGCTATGGGAGGGTGGAGCCTCTTTCACAACATGCATGCCCTGGTGACAGGTCATGTCCCCAAGCCAAATTCTTCCATCACTCACGTCCTGCACAGTGAGTATTGTAGGTGGTACACGTGGGAATTCAAATCACTCCAGAGAGGTGCCAGGTTGCCTCTGGCATGTTGATTTTTTCCAACATGGCTCCACTCACCAGGAAGGTAGCTGTGGTGTGTGTGTGTGTGTGTGTGTGTGTGTGTGTGTGTGTGTGTGTGTGAAAAAGACACACTTGTGCTGGGTAGGATTGAGGAGGGAGACAAGAAGGAAAGGTAAAAGAGTGTGGAGTTATCTGGTAGTCCATCTTTCCTTGGGCCACCATCATTTGCCTTCCCAGCTCCTGGGACTATGCTCATAACTATTTATATGTTCCTATATTAAATTGTTTACCTAGCATTGTATTTTTAAAAATTGGTTATTTTGGTTCACATCTATGTTAGCTTAATCTTTGCTCTCCACTGCCAGCTGCTTGGTTAGCCCAGTGCCTGGAATTCTGCCACTCAAATAAATGATGCTTCACAGCATCACAGATTTAAAGATGGAAAGAACCTTAGAGGCCACCTAATCAAACACCTCTCTTTACACATGAAGAAACAGAGGCGCCAAGAGGTTGAATGATTTACTGAAAGTCACATAGGTAGTAAGTGCCAGGGTCAGGATTAGAACCTGGTTTCTCTAGTGCCATTTGCATTGTACACATTACTGCATCCTAATGGTCTTATTTAATGATGAAGTTAGGCATGGAGGGATTACACGTGAAAGAAGTACCCACCTAGAGGAAATGATGAATCTTTGAAGAATTGACATCAATGTATAGGTCCCTACCCCTGCTTCCATGATGCTGATCTACCTAGTATGGGAGATCTGAGTCTCTCTATCCTGTTATCTTTCTCCCTTTGGGGAAAAGAAAACATCTCACGACAGGCTAGGCATGCAAGTACACAGGCAAAAGATTTCTTGGAAGACCTGAGGAGCAGAGATATGAAAAGGAATGTTCTGTGAATAACAGAATCTTGGTGTCCAGAGAGACCATCTAAGGCCGTTAAATTCAACCCCCTACTTGCTTCTGAACCAATGAATGAATCAGAGGGGTCAAAAGCTGAAGATTTTGAAAAATTTTGTTACTGCAAAGAAAATTTAAAAAAAAAAGTCATACAGAGAAAGTAAAGACCGCCAATGACATTTCAGTTTCACATAGTTGTCCTGAGATTAGGATTTCTTATTACCTATACTTAGAAGAATTTGAGCCAAGATCAGACTTAATTTCACCAATGGGCAAAGTGGGAGTTGGTGTAAGGGAAGATAAGGAAGCCACGAGAAGGAACAGAATCTGTTCAGGAAACACGTCCAGTTGTAAAATAGGGAAGTAGATGAAAGAATTTGGTGCAAATATCCTCGTGCCTGAGATCATGCTTGATTGGGAAAGACTCAAGCTTCTTGGGTATAGCCTCCTGGTACAACTTGGTGAGCAGGTAAGTAAGTAGTGACTAACAGTACAGCACAGGTGTAAATACCAGCAAAAGGAGCCCAGATCTTAGACAAGGATCTCTGGATTAATAGTCTTCTGTGGTAATTAGCTAAGCAGGTGAGTCTAATCAATTAATCAATCAACAAGAATTTATTAAGCCACTAGGGGCAGCTAGGTGCTATAGAGCGATGGTATCAAACTCAAATAGATGCAGGGACCACTTAACCCTACATATGGATCCCTACAGTGGTATATTGACTTTTTAAAAAAAAAAAAAACATATTAACATTATCTATGTTCTATTGTATTTTTATTTATTTTGGTAAATATTTCTCAATTACATTTTAATCTGTTTCTGGTCTCACTCCAGAATGTTCTGGGCTGCACAGAGAGCAAGTGTTTGATATTTCAAGTATAGCGGACAGAGTGCTGCACCTGAAGTTAGGGAGAATCCAGAGTTCAAATTTGGCCTCCGATAGTTAAGAGCTGTGTGACCCTGGGCAAGACATTAAATATCTCTCAGCTTTGGTTGCCTTATTTATAAAATGGATACAATAATGGCACCTACCTCCCAGGGTTGTTTGTGAGCCTCACATGAGTTAACATCTATAAAACTTTTTGTAAACCCTAAAGTGTTATATAAATGCTAGCTATTATTAACTATATGTATTCTTCTTATTAGGCTTTTATTATATATCAAATACTGTACTAGATCCTGGGAATGCCAATACAAACGTGGTTTATAATTCCCTCCCCCACCACAAGCCTTCTGAGTGACTTTTGAAAGGTGAAGAGTCCTGGCTAGGCCTGAAGAAAACATCACCCAGTTGTTCCTGGATAGCCAAAGTTCCAGAGTCATCTGTTGGCCAGGTGGGCAGAGCTTACCAAGTTTTTGCTCTGCTCTGATCTTGAGCCAGCAATCCCAGCTTTCCAGAAGGAGCACTTTCTTCTTTCCTAAACTAGTCTCCTTAGGAATTCTCTTATGCAACTTTGGTGACTTTGCAATGGAAACCATCAAAGAACCTAGGAAAAGTGGACCAAGGCCCTCTGCTTCGTAGCACAGACTGAGCAACTGAACTGGTCCCATGTGAGGGACTATTGTCCCTTACACTTGTGCTCAGAAGCTGAGCCAGATTCTGGAACACAGGGGACAGAATGTAGCAGTGAGAGGGACAGTGCAGAGAACCAGCCTCAGTCATTTCCATATCCCCCCTTATGCTACAGGAAAAAGAAGGGAGAAAGGGGATGATGGCTTGAAGGGAGAAACAGGCTAGGGAAACAAGGAACAAATAAGAGACAGCAAGTGCCAGACATTATAAGCTTTGTCAACAGTCAGTAATTAGAGGTGAAGATTTTAATGCCAAGGATTTCACCAAAATGTATGTGAGAGATGAAGTCAACTCATCACCTAACAGAAAACTTGGGTGTCTGAAGGTCAATCAATCACTCAAATATTGTTTAAGCACCTGCTAGGTGCCAGGCCCTATGCTAAATCCTAAAGATACAAAAGGAGGCAAATGGAGTTTGAAATCTAATGGGAGAGACAATATGAAAACAAATATATATGAAGTGAGCTATTTACGGAAATAATTAGTAGAGGGAAAGCACTGAAATTAAGAGAGGTTGGAAAAGGTTTCCTGTAGAAGGTAGGGTTTTAGTTGGGACTCAAAGGAAACCAGAGAGGTCAGTAGTTAGAGTTGAGGAGGGATTCCAGACATGGAAGACAATCAGAAAAAAATGCCCAAAGCCGAGAGATGGAACATCTTGTTAGTTAATTGGCTTTCCAGCCAAGAGACCCCTCTCACTGGATCAAAGAGTAAGGTGTAAGAAGACTCAAAAGGCACGAGGGACTAGGTTTTGAAAGGCTTTGCACGCCAAATAGAGCATTTTGTATTTGCTTCTGGGTAATAGGAAGCCACTGTAGTTTATGGAGGACAGCTAGGTGGCGCAGTGGATAGAGTGTCTGGCCTAGAATCAGGAAAACTCAGGAAGACTTATCTTCCTGATCAGATCTGGCCTCAGACACTTATTGATGTGTGACCCTGGGCAAATCACTTAACCCTGTCTGCCTCAGTTTCCTCATCTGTCAAATGAACTGGGGAAGGAAATGGCAAACTACTACAGTATCTTTGCCAAGAAAACCCCAAACAAGGTCACAAAGAGCCAGACACGACTGAAATGACTGAACATAGTTTATGGAGTAGGTTGGAGAGTGGGGGTGGGGGTGACATGATCACTTTAGGGGCTGAATGGAGGACGGATTGGAGTGGGGAGAGAACTGAGGCAGGCAGACACCCCAGAAGGCTATTGCGATAGTCCAGGTGTGAGGTGATGAGGAGTCTGCACCAGGACGATGTCAGTGTCAGGAGAGATGACATATTTCAAAGAAGTTGAAAAGGTGAAATTCACAGGCAACAGCTTGGATACGGGGGAGTGAGAATCCAGGATGACTTCGAGAATGTCCTAGCCTGGAGGAATGGAAGACCAAAGCAGAAAGAGCCTTTTGGTGAGAGCTGAGGTGCCATAGGGATTGCTGAGGAGTTCCGGTCTCGGAAAAGAAGGGAGATGAGAAGCTACGCTCTTGGAGAGGTCATTGGTTCCTCCAATTCTGTCAGAGCTGCTCCTCTGGATGAAAGGAAGTAATTTACAGATCCCTCTGTATCAGTCACTGCTGGAACCTCCAGGCTGCTTATTTCTTGCACTGATGCTGCCACTGGCCCCGTAGGAAGAACTTTGATGCCTGTGCCTATGGGATCTCCTTGGATCATTGGGAAAGAGGCAGCCTAGCATCCCCCAGAGCAAGAGCTTCTGCTTCTACCAGAGGTAAGACAAGAGCATCCTGTACGTCTGTACAGGGTATAGCTAGAGCTTCAGACCGTAGCTAGAACCACATCAGGAAGAGACTGGAGGATGGCATGGGAGTGTGGGAGGACAGTTAGAGGGGGTGGCATTTGGGATGGCTTTGACAAAGGGGCTGGCATTGCCTCTAGCTTAGCTGGTAGGACATTCAGGGGAGCTGAAAGGTATACATAAGAGGTTAAGGTTCCCACATTTCAGTGACCTCATCATGTTCAAATTTGAAATAAAATTCTAAATACTTTTTAGTTACAATCAAACAAATTTTAAAAATCTAGGCCCTAGAAATTAACAAAAAACACAGTGGCTTCTGTTACTGAAGAGTGTATCCTATTGACTTCATTTGGTTCAAATAAATTCTCAATAACTTCAAATCCGCTAACTGTCCCCTCCCCTCTTTTGCCTTACCGATCACAGAATTAGAGAATTTCAGAGCAAGAAGGGACCTCCTAGATTAAAAGAAAAAAAGATTTCTCTCTACAACATACCAGAGAAGTGGTCATCTAGACCTTCTGTGAAGACCTCCAGGGAGAAGGAGGCCATTACCTCCTAGGACACCTCATTCTACCTTGGGATACCTTCACTAGACTTTTACACGTG